TTCTCCTTTTATTCAACTAAATACTTCCATAATCACGTGTGACTTCTGAGCCCGCTCAGCATTTCTCACGTGCGAATAGTTGGTGTCAAAATCAAGCATCAACAAAACTTATCGTTCGGCAAAACTACCACAATTAGTCAGTCAAATAGATTGACCGAACAAAAATAATCATTCAATCAAATAATAACTATTAAAATAGTTAGGAGATGTACTTACGATTTCGTATTAAAATAGTTAGAAGATATACTTACAGTTTAGAAGAACGAATTAAAATAACAACTCATTTGACAGTGTCAATCGAACATACTGCCTTTATTCCATGCCAATTCATGAATCTTTGATCTAAATAACAACAAAAACATAAATAAATAAAAAATCATCGATTAACAAAATCATGAAGAACATACGTATTATTGACACAAACTAACATAACTTATGAACAATTAACAAAATACCAGACGTATTGTTGACACCAACTAACATATTGTGATAATACACAACTGAACATACGCCTCTTTTATAAAAAAAACTAGACGTATTGTTAACACCAACTAACATATTGCGATAATACATAACTAAACATATGCCCCTTTTATAACCCCTTATTTAGACATTTCAAATACCAACACAATTAAATACGAATTGAATATGAAGAAAGGTTTGCAATGTTAATACAATGCACCTATATAATTATTAATAGCAATCCTAGACAAATGTAACTAAACCATAATTATTAATAGTAATCCAATGCATATGTATATTTGTTATTAATGCACATCCATCATGTCAAAATAGTTATACCTTTGGAATGCCAATGCAATACACTTATATTATTATTATTGGAATATCAATGCAGTGCATTAATATCTCATTAAACTATACATCTAACTTTGGAATACCAATGCAGTAATTAATATTGTCTATATCATCATCAATAAAATTCAATCACATGACAATCACAAATCTAAGGTATCATTAGAGTTAGACATTTGGAATGCCATTGTAATGCACCTATATAATTAGTATTATTATTAACTATTAATAATTTTTTTATTAATTATTAATTATTAATACAAATCTAACATGTCAAGATGGAGCAATAAATACAAATCCAATGTGTCAAGATGAAACAATTTGATTGGGCTCTTTAAATCACAAACCCTAGTTGTTAATCCAATATGTCAAAATGGAACAATTATAGAANAATGAAAGGAGAGTAAAGTTTATAATTTGAAAAGGAAAGAAGGAAGCATATGAATTTTACACACTCGCTTCTTGGACAGATGTGCCAAATTAAAAAGTAAAAATATTTATTAATGTTAGGTAAAGATTTGAACAAGTTTTAGCTTTACTTTACATGCACTTGAGAACAACTTATCTTTGCTTGTGGAAGCAAAAAGAACAATTTCACCTTTTATAAGCTTCTAACACTTGTAAGATCCCATGGGTAGGGTTCAGAAAGTCCTTAATCGAATGATGCCTGTATGTCTACCTAATAATGATGGTATATACATCAAATGTGTTGGCGTAGTATGACAGGTTGGATGTACATAAATCAAATGTTATTTAACGTATATACATCCATTCAATCACGGCACATGTATATATACATATAGAAAATTTACTTAGTTAACTGTTTAAAAAAAGTTAAGTTAAAAAATAACCAATTTTTAAATAACTTTGTAAGGAAGACCTCTTATAAGTTTTTTAAACAATTCTACCATTGTCTTCTGCACATAATTACATTAATACTATTGCTTCTATGAAAATGACAAAAAAAATTTGATTTGAGATTGAAACATCGAATATTAAAAGATATATGATAAAAGATTGTAATGTTAAAAGATATATGAAATGTCTGAAAATATATTTAGTGTATTTAAAAAGCAAAAGCATATTTAATGTTAAATAAATTTGCGGAGTGAACAACATGTTCCCACCCAAGGTTTGACGAAATCCTATGTTCTCACTTCTGGTTTCATAAGTTCTAAATTCTCACCTTTAAATTAACTGAAAATTGTTTAAGCTAACAACTAAAGGGTAAATGGTCATTTTATCCTTGAAACCAAAGGGTGGGTGGCAGAGACGTGCGTGGGGCATTGTAGCATCCTTGTATAGTGGCTGACACATTTTAGTCATGGGCGGCGCACATTAGCAAACGTCGTCGCCGGCGTTTTAGCCTTTTTCTGGCTACCTTTCCACCTAAAATAGCCCCCTCCCTCTTCCTTGCTTCCTCCTCACTTTTCCCTAAGCTCCTCCCACACCGGAGCACCCTCAATTCGTCGAAAAACGACGATCATTGGACTTCACAAACCTCCATCTTTGCAGCCATTTTTTGATTGCCTCACTCATTGGAAATTCACCCAACCACCTCCATTCAACCCCCCATTCTCCCATCTTCAAAATCCATCCCCACATTAGCTTCTCTCACTCACCGTTTGCTGTCCACCGACCTTTCTTTTGTGCCCAGTGGGGTGGTGGGTGGGTGGGGCTTTTTGTTGAGCACTTGGTGTGCGTCTAGGGGAGAAAGCTATTTGAATGAGTTGAGAATGGCATAAATTCCTGAAATTTACATCAATAAATCACAATCAATCTAAACTTCTCAAAACTACACACAATCAATTATCAATATTCTCCCAAATCTCCAAATTCTACCAATCAAAGCAACTCCACAATCAAACAAATAAAACTTCACCAAACTTTCGATGGCAACGGCGACAGAGATGATGGTGGGTGAATTCATGGGAAGAGGGTGAGGTTTTGGTGGTGGATGGACAGGGGTGTTGTGGCTGGTGTTGGGGAAGGTCGTCAGCTTCGGGAAACAACCNTATTTTAAGAAACAAAAATAAATCTTTGCATGCCAAAATATAATAATAATAAAACGGTGACGGTGGTGGTGGTGAAAGAAAAATCCTCACAATCTTCAAATATAATTATAATAATTTATTATAATCTTTAAAATAAATTAAGGGTAGCATGAAATATTATTATTATTAATTTTTTTAAAATTTAAAATCTGTGACAATTATAAATTCAGAAGAGACAAGGAAACTCCAACACATTTATTCAATCAGAAATATCCTCTGGGCGTGCCTTGGAATCCAAAGATACGGGCCCTTCATTTTTATATAATTGTTGTAAAATCCAGCATTACAAAATGAAAATAGAAGAAAATAGCAAAAAACTTAAGAAATTAAGAATTATGTACATATAAAAAATAACTTACTTTTTTTTATTGATTTTAAAAAAATCTATTTAATTTTATAAATGCCATTAGATTATAATTTTATTCAAATTATTATGGTATAACTTATAAAAAAAATAAAAATAAAAATATTGTTATTATTATTATCAAACTCCCTTTCGTAGCAAAACATTAACCTATATATATACAAATTTTAAGTGCTGTAAAATTACTAGAGTGACGAAAAAAAAAAAAAAAAAAGGGTTGTTCTAAGTCTAATTACACATATTAAATGATGTAAAAATATTCTATGAGTTCGACCTAAATATAGATTGGTCTTTAGTTTGAAAATTATACAGAAACTATATTTGTGAAGAAATGAAAGCCTTAAAACAAATATACCACATGATATATATTCTATTTCAATAAAAAATACAATATTTTCATTAATTACGTTATTAATTGAAAATCTTTAATCGAAGTATGTGATGAATAAATGAGTTTATTTTCGAATATGAATAAGAAAAAATATATAGTAAATTAAAAAAAAAATTAATTTTCAAATCAAAAGTTTGGTGGGATTTTGTAAAAGATCACATAAAATTGTTCTTCTTTAAAAAAAATTAAAAAAAAAATTTCACATAATTTTCATACCAAAAATAAATAAATAGAATAAAAAATAAATGATGTTTCTCTAGAATAAAAGAGAAGACCAAAGAGGGTCATAACTCAAAACTCACGCTTTGTATGTTTGGGTTTGGCAAAGCAATGCGGTCAGCTGATGGTGACAAACAATCTAACGGTGGGCGACACGTCGGAGTTATGATAGCTGTAAAGTTTACGCACGCCACGCGCGCTTGGAAGCGACGAAGGGAAATAAGCTTTGCGTAGAAACAAGGGCATTTATTCATTATCAGACACCGACACCGTCTCTTTAATCAAGCCACATGTGAAGTTCACTCAGTTCTGGTCTCGGCTTCCTCGCTCACTCCCTCACATGACTCGCTCTTCTTATTAATCTTTATTTTATTTTATTTAATCTTCTCATTAACTACCCAAAAGTCTTTTTAGTTTGTTATTAAAGCAAGTGTATTGTGAATTTGTGATGTTGTTTTGTAATCATTTTTTAATTATTGAGAGTGAAATAAGTTTATTTATTTTTTATTATAATTGATAAGATATTACATAATAAAATTAAAGGTAGTAATTAATTTTTTTACATAATATTAAAATCGTTTTTAAACACAAATATGAGAATTATGCCTATGTTTATTACACTATTTTAGATCATTATTTTGTTATATTATTTGGAATAAACAATAAGATATTTGTTTATTTATTTATTGGACCTAAAAATTAATCTAATTTAAATAAGGTTTTCTTGTCTAAAGATAAAAAGAGAGTGAAAACTTGTTCTTCGATTATCAAACACTCCTAAATTAAAAATATTTTTCTTTCTCTCATTCCAACCCAAGACTAGTATCGCCTGCTACCGCTGGCTTAAGTGGCCGAAATGGCAGTAAATTGGTAAGTCAAATAAAATACGTGAAATTGAAAAGGGAATGAATGAATGGCTAAACCTATCTTGACCATTAATGATCTCCCAAGATGTCAAAGAGAGAGCAGAATCAACGGCTCAAGCTTAAAGCCAAACAAAAACAACTCACTCAAAAGCCAAAGCCACTAGTGTTGGTCCCACAAGTGACAAGACCAAATAGACGTGTGGTCCCCCCATCCAGGCTGTCTCAACACTCAGTACAGCCTCAAAGTCTTTCTCTCTACTTTTTTTACACTATCCCAATAATATTAACACATCAACCCCATAGAGTTAGCAGCAACAAATCACATTAACATTACATCTCAACTCACTCTCACACTTTTTCTTTCTCCATTTTCATTCTTTCATTACCTCCACAAAGCCCACCACCCACCATTTTCTTCATATCAAAATCTTTCACCTCTACAAGATTGTTCTTCTTCTTCCCCATTTTGAGCGCCATGGATCTCAACATCTATGGCCGCTCCGTTTCCAAGATTTTCTTCTTCATCTTTCTGATCTTTCTTTCTTACACCACCGCTTCCATTGCCGCCACATTGCCTCAGAAGCCACTCTCCTCTTCCGGCCAAATCAACTCCAACTCTGTTCTCGTCGCTCTCCTCGACTCACATTACACTGAGTTAGCTGAACTCGTTGAGAAAGCGCTTCTCTTACAGACTCTTGAAGAAGCTGTTGGGAAACACAATATTACCATTTTTGCCCCCAGAAATGAAGCCCTGGAGCGTGAACTCGACCCCGAGTTCAAACGCTTCTTGCTTGAACCCGGTAACCTCAGGTCTCTTCAAACCCTCTTGATGTTCCACATTCTCCCCAAACGAATCGGATCCTCCGAATGGCCCGATGACAAAAAACCCAGGTCAACCAAACACAACACGCTCGGCAACGATTTCGTCCACTTAACCAGCAAGAGTTCGGGGAAAAAAGCGATTGGGTCAGCCGAGATTATCCGACCCGATGACGTGATCCGACCCGATGGGATCATCCACGGAATCGAACGCCTGTTAATTCCCCGATCGGTCCAGGAAGACTTCAACCGCCGCCGTAGTCTCCAGTCAATCGCTGCCGTGCTTCCTCAGGGTGCGCCGGAGGTGGACCCCAGGACTCACAGGTTGAAGAAACCGGCAGCTCCGGTTCCAGCTGGGGCCCCTCCGGTTCTTCCCATTTATGACGCGATGGCTCCGGGTCCATCGTTGGCACCCGCACCGGCTCCGGGACCGGGTGGGCCACGCGGGCACTTTAACGGCGAGAAGCAAGTGAAGGACTTCATCCACACGCTGTTACATTACGGGGGTTATAACGAAATGGCGGATATTCTGGTAAACTTAACGTCGTTGGCGACGGAAATGGGAAGGCTAGTTTCGGAGGGTTACGTTTTAACGGTTCTCGCGCCGAATGATGAAGCCATGGCTAAGCTGACGACTGATCAACTGAGCGAGCCGGGCGCGCCGGAGCAGATTATTTACTACCATATAATTCCGGAGTACCAAACGGAGGAGAGTATGTATAACGCCGTTAGGAGATTCGGGAAGGTGAAGTACGATACGTTAAGGTTACCGCATAAAGTAACGGCACAAGAGGCTGATGGTTCCGTTAAATTCGGGTCTGGTGATGGATCGGCTTATTTGTTTGACCCGGATATTTATACGGATGGGCGGATATCTGTGCAGGGAGTTGATGGGGTTTTGTTCCCGGAGGAGGAAACTCCCACGGCAACAAAACCGGCAAATGTGAAGGTTGTGACCAAGCCAAGAAGAGGTATGGATGCTTAATTCGTTAAATTTAGTGCCAATTGTTTTGTTTCAAGTACAGCTAAATTTGATTATATGTTCATTTTAGTGACACAAAATATCATAGTTGTGAATGGAGGTTAGATTATTGAATCACAAGTTTAATCCAATTACTTTAGAAGAAAGTTAGAAACAGTTATTTAATGCTAACTCTTAACAACTTCTAATAAACCCGTCGGACCCATAATTAAATTACGAATGAAGTAAGTTGTTGAAAGTAACCATCACTGGATGGTATAAATTAAAATTCTTGGGTGTATTATTTAAGAGGTATTGAGTTCGATTCACCTCGGTTACTAATAGGGTGACCATTGAACGCTTATCCAGGACCACAGAGGATTAGTTAAGGTGTTGTGATTCTGGTCGAATACTCGAATAACATTATTAGGTCGACATTTAAGTTATGGGATCAAGACTTTGGTAGTAGTTTTCACTTTTTAGGTAGATTTGGGGTTCGGTTGAATTGGGGAATAGTTATACTATATTCCAATGGATATAATTTGGAGCAATTTTAAAGAAGAGTTTAGGTAAACAAAATGGTCGGTGATAAGTTAAAAAGTGATGAAGGTTTGATAAATAGAATGGACTTAGTCATAAGGTAGAAGAAAATTATAATAAGGTTTTTCTTATGAAGTGGGTAACAATTATTTCCCAATCTTCAATTGTTCTTCTTGCTTGCCAGTTTGCCACCAGCAATGAGGCCATGTGATAAAAATTCTAGGGTTTAGAATATGCCATGGCAGCCACATTCTTTTGATGCCCCACCACCCAAAAACAGCTTGCAATTCCTTCATTTTCCACACCTTATTATTAATAATTTCCTTTTTGATTTGTAGTCTCAGCTGGCATGATTCTTTTGGTCTTTATTTATTGTATTCCATAAGATGGGCCAGGGTTTAATTAATTATGCATCTGATGTTGATATTTTTATTTGAGTTGACTTAATAATATTTTTGGTTTAATTAATTGTGCAAATTGCAGGGAAATTGATGGAATTAACTTGTAGAATGCTTGGAACTGTTGGGCAGGATTCCCATTTCACTACTTGTCAATAAACACATATTTAAATTCCCTATAAGATCAAAATTTGTAGCCATGTAAACACACTGGTGAGTTTTTCACTTTCTTTCATTAACATCCCCTAAAAGAATCCCAGTAACTTTACCGGATCAACGGGTTTCTGGCAATGTACAACATCACACTTGTAATATTTTGATTGACGTCGGATGTCATTGATACGACGTAACTTTTCTGTAATTTTTATGGCTTTGACTAATAATGGGTATATTTTCATTGTGCAGTTGTAGGAAGATTTATGTAAACACAAGGAAGGGGATTGAACAGGCTGCATGATTTCCTCATAAAAATCCCACACAAAAAGAGAGTTTGATGTTGTTTTGTTATAAATACTGTAATTACATATCATTTTTTAATTATTTTTTTTTCTTTTTTTGTTGTAAGACTCACTGCCACTATATCCATGAACAAATTTGGAAAAGTTATCTCTGTTATATCAATTGCTTGTGTTCTTTTTGCCTTACTGTGAATCAAAATTTACAACTTTTGTATTCCTTTATCTGTTTTATTTTCTCTAACAAAATTCAATCTCGGAAAATAAAAATCGGAAATGGGTTCGTGCTCTCTGTAACTGTTGGTATATGGAAGGTCTAATAGGTGGGTTTTCAAAAAGTATTATCCTATATGAGTTTTGGGATTCACACGGTTTTATCTTGAGAATACATTTTTGGACAGTGAAAGTGTATTTGTGTGTTATACGCTCTCTAGATCGGAAATGTGTTAATTGTTTTTATTTTATTTTCTAAATTAAGTTTTTAATTAAAAGTTGTGTGAATAAAATATTGGGTGATAGGAACATCATAACTCAAGATTAGATGGTCATAATCTTTCATGAGTTGTTGGTGCTATTTGTCTTCATTGACGAAATTTAATAAATAATAATTTGTCAATTATTGGTTGGTGCTTTTTTTAATTATTTTTATTAACATTATCATGTTAATTAACTATTTAACTTTGCTTTACATGTGGCTGCTAGGCTGAGCTCACCCTTTTTTTTTTTCTCTTAAGAAAACTCTAAAAAGTGCTAAAATGTAAGCTTGACTTTGACAGTTTGGCTTCATGCCACACCAAAAACCAATTAGGTAAGTAATCTCTTATATTAGTAGAACATCTTACAAGTCTAAAGGGTTAGACAAATTATAATGTTATAATGATAGGTGGTTTCAAAGAATTTTTCTTGACCGTTAAGCCAATTCCTTGAGATTACCTATATTTGTAACACTTTTTTAAAAACCAATTAATATTTATTCATTAAAATATATAACAACATTTATAATATTTTTAAAATTAAGCTAAGAATAGGGGAGATCACTGAAATTTATTCAAGAATGATCAACAGATATAATATTTAATATTTAAAATAATTAATAAAATTTCCTATCAGAATGGATTACTACATTACAATATAACAATTTGGAATGGCTTTCAATGTTAATTTAATGATCGTAATAGAGGTCAAATTAAATTATTACATAAAAGAAAACTAACATATTTTTTATAAAATAAAAAAGCAAAAAGCAAAATATTATAAAAAATTATATTTAAAATTATTTTAATACAAGAATATATATTTATTTATCCTTATTATTTGGTGTTGGATGGTTTACTTGAGACCAACTTTAGATGTTGTTCTGTTCTCGGTTTTCATTGTATTTTTCAAATAATAAATTCTCTTTTATTTGAAATTTAATATTTTCTACTAAAAATAAGATATCCTTTTAATAAATTAGTATTCCCCACATAAATTTTTTCAGAAGAATAACGAAAAAAACTACAAAAAAAAAAAAAAAAAAAAAAAACACAGCTTGAATTTGTTGTCTATTAGGGCTTTGGTTATCTTCCATCTTTTGTTGATGGCAACTTCGCTTAGCCATACCTTATCTTATGCACATAATCCTATTGACCATAGAGATTCCAACGATTTATCAATTGGGATACAATATATACACTTAATTTTAATTAAACAAAATAAAATACAATAAGAGGAAAATCTTCCCTAAAATGGAAGAGTAATAAAAAAAAAAAGGGTCAAATACAAGAGAATTTTTACCATATGAAATCTTACGCATCATTCATAAGTTAAGAACCGATATCAAATTAGTTTTCGATAGCAATATCGCTCCTAATGACATTGTTTCATGTGCAATAGCTAATTGATTTATGACAAATTACAACCGTCCTCGTAAAAATAATTTTAATTTATAATTGCATGATATTTCAATAAATTATTAAAAATCTTCTAGATTACTTAAAATTCCCTTACAAAATGGGTTTTTAATTAAATATATTAGGTGAAGATAAAATTTAAGAATTTATTGGACCCTATACAGAATAGAAGAGTTGAGTAGAGAGACAGTAACAATGAAATGTTAATCACCAGTGGTGGTCGAGTGGTCAACTAGGACTCTTGGGTAATTACTCAAGAGATTTTGAATTCGATTCACCTCGACACCTAATAGGGGTGGTCACTAGGCTTTTATTCGTCCGTAGTTTCAAGTCTTGGAGATTAGTTAAAGTATGCGTAAAATGGTCTGGACACCCTATATATAATAATATAATGAATGTTGAATTGTGAATGGCAGCTTGGAATGAAGGAGAGTAAAGTTTTATATTTGAAAAGGAAAGAAGGAAGCATATGAATTTTACACATAGCTTCTTGGACAGATGTGCCAAATTAAAAAGTAAATATATTTATTAAGTTAGGTAAATTGAACAAGTTTTAGCTTTACTTTTACATGACTTGAGAACAACTTATCTTTGCTTGTGGAAGCAAAAGAACAATTTCACCTTTTATAAGCTTCTAACACTTGTAAGATCCCGTGGTAGGTTCAGATAGTCCTTAATCGAATGATGCCTGTATGTCTACCTAATAATGATGTATATAATCAAATGTGTTGGCGTAGTATGACAGGTTGGATGTACATAATCAATGTTATTTAACGATTACATCCATTCAATCACGGCATGTATATATACATATAGAAAATTTACTTAGTTAACTGTTTAAAAAAGTTAAGTTAAAAATAACCAATTTTTAAATAACTTTGTAAGGAAGACCTCTTATAGATTTTTTAAACAATTCTACCATTGTCTTCTGCACATAATTACATTAATACTATTGCTTCTATGAAAATGACAAAAAAACTTGATTTGAGTTGAAACATCGAATATTAAAGATATATGTTAAAAGATTGTAAGTAAAAGATATATGAATGTCGAAAATACATTTGTGTATTTAAAAAGCAAAATATTAATGTTAAATATTTGGTTAAAAAATGGCTTTTAGAACTGATAATAAATTTGCGGAGTAAACAACATGTTCCCACCCAAGGTTTGGCGAAATCCTATGTTCTCACTTCTGGTTTAAAATTCCAAATTCTCACCTTTAAATTAACAGAAAATTGTTTAAGCTAACAACTAAAGGGTAAATGGTCATTTTATTCTTGAAACCAAAGGGTGGGTGGCGGAGACGTGCGTGGGGCATTGTAGCATCCTTGTATAGTGGCTGACCACTTTAGTCATGGGCGGCGCACATTAGCAAACGTCTCGCCGACTTTTTTAGCCTTTTTCTGGCTACCTTTCCACCTAAAATAGCCCCCTCCTCTTCCTTGCTTCCTCCTCACTTTCCCTAACCTCCTCCCACACCGGAGCACCCTCCATTCGTCGAAAAATGACGATCATTGGACTTCAAAAACCTCCATCTTTGTAGCCATTTTTTGATCACCTCACTCTCAGAAATTCACCCACCACCTCCATTCGCCCCCCACTCCCCTCTTCAAAATCCATCCCCACATAGCTTCTCTCACTCACCGTTTGCTGTCCACCGACCTTTCTTTTGTGCCAGTGGGGGTGGGTGGGTGGGGCTTTTTGTTGAGCACTTGGTGTGCGTCTAGGGAGAAAGCTGTTAGAATGTTGGTAATGGCATAAATTCCTGAAATTTACATCAATAAATCACAATCAATCTAAACTTCTCAACACACACAATCAATTATCAATATTCTCCCAAATCTCCAAATTCTACCAATCAAAGCAACTCCACAATCAAACAAATAAACTTCACCAAACTTTCGATGCAACGGCGACAGAGATGATGGTGGGTGAATTCGGGAAGAGGGAGGTTTTGGTGGTGGATGGACAGGGGTGTTGTGGGTGGTGTTGGAAGGTCGTCAGCTTCGGGAAACACCCAATTAGTTTGAAAATCTGGGGTTTAAAAAAATAATTTTTAATTTATTTTTTAAGGGTAGTTTGGTAATAGCAAATCTATCTGATTAATAATCCAAAAAATCACGAACAATGTTATTTAAGGGTAATGATATGAATTTATGAAACCAAAGGTGGGAACCTTAAATTTAGCAAACTTTGGGTGGAACATGTCGTTTACTCTAAATTGAGCTATTGAACTTTTGCAATGACGAGTGGGTTATATAATATTAGCCTCTCTTACGTGGATTTTTTTTATATATATTTTATATGGATCAAATTAATATTATGTACATAATCAATTATGTAAAATATCAAAAAGAGCTCACTCAAGCAAGGTTAATATCATTATAGCCCAATTGTGCAAGACAGACTCGTGCGAGACAAACTCTTCTGAGGCTAGATCTTGCGTTTCGAGAATCGTAAATTTTCTAAAAAAAATTTCCGATTCAAGTTTTTTCTTTTCCCCCTAAATATGCATTATTCATTTATATTAAACACAGATGAACATTATATACCCTCCTAAATATATACAAACAATAACAAAAAAACTAAATCTAAAACATTAAGGAGAAAGAACGAAAAAGAAGAGAATTGAAGAAGAAGGGTAAAATTGTCCAAATTTTGCATCAAAGGTCTTACTTGCAAAGACAAATAAATGTCTTTTTTTTTTTTTTTTTTTTTTTTTTTTTAATTGACTCTTAAAATAAGGTCAAATATGTAGTTATTTCTATATACCAATCTCATTGAAGGATTCTTATGTAGTTCTAGCTAATACATGTCTATCCAATCATGTCGCATGTCTGTGTGTGTATATATATTATATATTAATTATTAAGTGGTATTGCTGTGTTATGATTGTTTGGATGTATACATTTGTTTCACACTAAAGAATTTTTAGTAGAGTTTAGCATATATGCGTCTATTCAATCAGAGCACATAAATATTATAGTGTTAACATGCTACAACGGTTAATATACACACAATTGTCTTCGTAAAGAAACTTGTGTAGTGTATGACATATATGCATCCATTCAATTATAGCACATACATATTGAGCAGTTTGATGTATTATGATTGATTAATGTATATACACATATTCATTAAAGAATTTTTTAAAGCCGAAAGTTGTGTGTACATCCAATCATAACACACATAAATATTAAGGTCGTGTTGGTTGAGGTGAAGGGACACAGGAATAGATATCTTATTCCTTATCCCTTATTTGGTTTATAGGAGTTGCATAAGGAATATGAATCTTATTCCTTAAAAAAAGGTGGAGTGGGATTCCTTTAGAATTTGGGAGGAATGCCATCCATTACTAGTGATGGATAGTTAAATATCTTATTTGCCCATTTTTAAATTATGATTTCCCATTTTACCCCAAAATCAATTTATTTAAATCTAAATTACTTTATAATTCAATAATTATTTTATTAAAATATCAAAAATTAAATATTTAGAACTTTTAAGAAATTTCAAGAACTTTTCAAAAATTAGAAAATCTTCAAATCGGTCAATGCTAGTCAAATTTGTTAGACGGCGAATTTGGTAATGTCGCTAGCATCACCATCGGCTTATGGAAATCACTGATCAATGATCTATCCATCTGGAACCGTCTTCATGATGTCATGCGTGATGGCCTTCTGTTACTGCCACTCTATGTGACATCATGACGACAGTTTTCGGCAGCTAGGATCCACCCAAATAGGCAGATTGTTAGCAAGTGATTTCTCATGCACTAGCGGTGATGCTAGAAGTGTGGGGCAAATTTGTCGGCCTGCGAGTTTGACCCATGTTGATCAATTTGATATTTTTAATTTTTAATTTTTAAATATTGTTTTTTTTTTTAATATTTATAGTTTTTTGAATTTTATATTTAAATAAAAAAATTATATTTATTTAATAAAATAAATTAAGGGCATTTTAGTCAAAAAAAACAACAAATTGTTTTCCATTCCGTCGACATTCCTTATTACAAGCAAACAAAGTAATCTCATTCTTTTCATTCATAATTACTTCAACTCCATTGATTTCTCTATTCATAATACTTTTATTCCATCAATTTCAAGTCTACAAACCAAACATGGCCTAAGTGTGTAGATATATCATGATTAGTCAGATGTATGAAAACATTAATAGATTGTGACACTTAACATACTCAATCCACATTTACGCTCAATAAATGAATGCATTAATACTTTAACCTGTAGACGCTACATATATAACATCTCCAAAAAAATATAAAATGTCATAAGCAACATACAGCATACAACATTATGAACAAACATCATGGAACTTGAAACTTTAAGAACCTATGAATACAATGGCTAAGACTCATTTCTTCAACCTCCGACCGTAACTTCGTGCATCATAATCTCAGCGTTGGCAATACTCATAATTGGTCCATCGCTTGGAGCAGGATGGCTCTGGTTTGCATCCGAGCATTCAGGATGGACCAAATATTGGTTCTGGTTTTCTTCAGGTTTCCCATTGCATCCTTCCAGGATTTTGTTCCCTGCAGCTTTTATGATCTTCGGTTTTGACTTAATAGGCTTCGCTTCGGATTTTGCTCGTGCAGTAACCTGTGACTGAAGTTTAGTTTGAGACTTTCTGATGACAGTCTTTGCGGTGGCAGAGTCTTTGTTGGAATTTGTTATGATCCCCTTCGTGGTATTGCTTGGTTCTTGGTTCACTTTTGGGCCAAGACAAGACTCTCCATTTTCGAAGGAGACATCTTTTGCAGCAATGGAGCCCTTATTCCTTCCGAGCTTGGGGGATTTTGCACGTGTGGTTGGTATCTATAACGTTGGTGGCACGGAATGAGTATAATGTTGATAAAGAGAGAAAAAAAAGAGCTCCAAAATTGAGAAAAATTTACTATATATGCTTACAAAGACTAGGCTGTTTAAATATTTAGACTAATTGCGAATCTAGGCCCGTGACATGATGAACAAACAACATTAAAACGTGATGCTGGCATAAGTTTCAGCTTTTAAGATATATTCTTAGCTTCCTATCTTATCAATCACATAATTGATCACATAGGTATAGTGAAATGTAAGGTACCTTCTTTAGTTCAACTTTTGGAGGAGGTTCCTTGTAAAAGCTCGGCATTGGCGTAGCTTTAAATGTCAAGCTCTTCCTCAGTTGCTTGATCTCTGCCTCCTGGTTTTCCTGAACAATACCGTGCAATTTCAAAGATTAATCGGACTTAAAACATGAAAAACATAATGATAGACTAAGACAAAAGAAATTTTCTTTCAAGTGCAAAGTACAGTTAGTCGCACTACCTTTGACTTTGCTTGCAAATTGCTTTTTTCCATTTCCTTGGCATGGATTTTCTCTTCTAGCTTCGAAAAGAACTGGTGAGAAAAATGACCGTAGTACAATTATTTTAGCGTTCAGTATAAAGAGGTTAATGCAGTGGTGAAGAAATTGAACACAAATAGACAACCTCCTTTCGTTTTTCAGCACGTTCATCCAACCTGAAGTTGAATCCTCCGCCGCTTCTCCGCCCAGTGGCACTCCTGTTTGTAGTACAGAAATGATAGACACATCAATAAAATGAACACTAGGAAACAAGAAAAGCAATAGAACGATAAGAACAATATGAGGTCAGATAAGAACAATACGAGGTAGTGGAACGGGTGTCATCATCCTCTTTGTTTGACAATGCAGTTGTTATAGGTTTTGAATTTTGATCAACTGATCTGCAATTACGTAAGATATGATCCAACTATAATCAGTTCAGTGGATATTGATAGAGGTCTCTTCTAACACTTTAGTTTCAATACGTCTTTCGACAAATTGTTTAGCATAATTCAGCTACTGATGGAAGAGCATTGACATATCTATGTAATAGATGAAGACTACTTACTGGGAAACTTCAGGTGGAGGACCGTTAGCAGCTGCATTCACCGAACCAGAATTCACCGGCTGACAAGCAAAGACAAAAATGACTAAATTAACAGCAGTTTTTGAAACGTCAAACGAAAAGATTAAGGGAAGAAATGACAACATAAAAGCTTACTGCAGCTTTGTGAACACCAGGAACAGTTGCTGAACTAGTCCGCCTGGAAGAAACTCCATTGTTTGTGCTCACTTCCTTTGAGTCCGCTCCAGTGGATGCACGTCTGTTGGGTTGACTCAAACGGGAAACCGAAGTGACTGTTCCATTTGCAGAAGGACCCTGAGCTTTGGCCCCAATTGCTCGTGTATTTTTGGTTTCGTTCTTCACTGGGTGTCCATCTATGCTCCTCTTCATACCATCTGCATGAGCTCCTCTCGCTGGAAAGGAAAGACTCTGGGAGAGGACCGGCCTCTGATTACGAGTAAATGGAGCTCCACCTTTCGAATTAGTCTTATCCTTGGTTGTTTTACTGGTTTTTGAATTACCACCGTTGGTAACACTAGGTTCCTGAAAACAAACATAGATACAAAAACACAAATTCAAAACACACTTTTATTAAGATATGTGACAAAATTAGTCGCAACAGAAAAGATCAAGCGAAGAAAATGAACAAAAGATACAAGGTACCTTCAAGGGTTTTGAGATTTTACTTTCTGAAACACCTTCAGCTTTTGTAAAATGCTTGGAAGCGTCTTCGCCATTTTTAGCACTCTGTTTTTCTTTCTTTGTTTCAAGAGCAGATCCTTCCGCATGAACGTTTGCTGTCACAACACTCTCCTCCTCCATCACAACTCCATTTTCAGATTCCATTCTTTAACAGAATGTTACAGCAAAGAAGCACCAAGTCCTGCAAATTTGCAATTGCAATACCATCTTAAAGGTTGCCTCAAAGTGAAAACGTCGAGTGACTTGAAACAATCTCAAGAAACACAGTCAATGTGATATTCTTTTCTTATGTGTATCAAATCAATTTCTATTTTTCTGGTTGCTAAAAGATCCAAAATCAATCTTACAAATCAGAAATCAAAACTAATACAATTAATACCTTAAGATTCAAACTTTCATTTCCTCTTTAGGTTCACGTTTTGTCCAAATCAAACAAGAACTCACATAGTCACATTAGAGATCCAAACTAATTGAGCACTAAAACAAAGCAAAAACTTAGTTTTATTTAATTAAACATAATTAAAGCAGAATCTACCGATAAAACTTCAAGCCATTGGAACTCAAGAAAGACCATGAATTGAAATTTCAACTATTACCTTAAACTCAAACTTAAATCTATCCATAATTTGTAAATATCTCCACTTACATTCTATATCATTCTACTTTTCATAAAATGACAAACTCAACATAAGAAGAATATCAAGATTCTACTGTCATTTCCTTCTCATTTTCTCAGGAACCAAACAAGAGAAACAGCACTGAATTTCAAGAAGATCCAACAGAACTCATCATCAAGAACACCAATTCACAATAAGTTGACAAACTTAAACTCATCTAGAAAGCTTCAAAGATTCAATAATTCAACCAACCCCACATAAGAAAAAAAAAAACATTCAGAATTACCATCTTGAATCACAGAACTTCAAAAATAAAAAAAGAAAAAAGAAAACTCACCTTGTGAACTGAGTCTGAAGCAATGAACTAAAACAAACCCAACTGAAACTGAAAGGGCAATAGGGAAGTGATTGAAAAGACAGAATATTTAATGCTTTTTATGAAGAATAATCAAAATGAGATAGTGAAAGAAGGGTTAATGCGCTGAGTGAGTGAAAGGCAGAGTGTGTAGTGTGTTTTGAGAGCTTGAAGAAGACAAATGACAAAGAAGTAAGCCAATGGAGTTGGCAATGAGCCATTTTCAAAGAAGAGGATATGCATAGACAGATTGATGGGAGATGTGAAATGACAAAGATGCCCCTAGCATGATTGGGGGTTGATTTATAATTTTTTAAAATTATGAATGTTGGTAGGAGACTGAGAGGTAATAGAATTTGACTTCCTGTGGTGGGTGAATAATAAAGGTGAAAAATGAACAATGAATGATTTTTTAAAAAAAAAAAATAAAAAAATCATTTCTTAAATTAAAAAATGTGTGAATATTTGGGATATTTTTCAACGCCATAAAATCAATTAAATATGAAGTATATGTATGGGTCACAATTATATCAACTTAATTTTTTAACTTAAATTTTCAGTTTTTATTTAAAACAATTTAACGCTTGGTTAATAGGAAGTTACAAATAGTTATTTCACGTTACCTTTTCAACCATTGGATTATGATTTTTCAATGGCTATAAATCGGTGTCTCAAATTAAGTAAATGCGTAAGTTATTAATTTCAAAATTAATCAGAAAATTTCTCACAAAATTGAAGATTATAAAAAATATCTCTTGATTTTTTAAAAAACAAAATAAAATTTATATGAAAATAAAGGTGAGTTGTCAGTTTTCTAAATCAAGTATTGTGTTTAATAATTGAAGCTGTATCCTCTCTAAAACTTTTATCTCTGTGCTAATGCCTAATAAAGAAGACATAATAATAAATAATTAAATTAAATTGTATTTGAAATTAATTAATTAGTTGGTAACCAATCAAAATCAATCTTAATTACAATAAACAGGTTGTTAACCTCAGATTGTTCAAAGATTACACAGCCTATCAACTTGATTACTTCTCATAATTAGATTTAATGATTAACACCAGACATTTTAATAAATAAAAAGGCTAAATATTAACTTATAAGATAAAATTTCGTTACTCTCTCATAACATTTAACTAGCCCTCACCAATTTCTAAAATTCATTAAAAATAATATTTGAAATATGAAAATTATAAACCCCTTTAAACTCGACAAAAGAGTATCGGATTTTATTACATCAATTAATTTAATATTATCTTGATATGAAGAATTACAATCTAATAATCCTTAAACGATGATCTAAAAGGTTTTGTAACGTTAGATATTAGATTTGTAATAACCTCATAAGTTGAAAAGTCGATGATGACATTAAACATAAGACATATAATATAGAATTGAATTATGATATACATCTAAAATATTAACAAAGGTTCATATGGAAAATAATTATATATATTAGAAATAGTAAAATCCTTAATTGAAGAGTGTAAAACAGGAGAGAAGGGCAAAATGGTCAATAAAGAAAAAAATGATTGAATACAACAGAAAGCACTGTTTGAGAACGTGGGTAGGAGGATTTGTAATAATCTGAGGGGTTTATAAAGGGTTTATTTAATATAAACCCCTTGCAGATGTACCTAACCAGCCAAATTTTTTGAAAAACCATCAAAATGGCCCCTTGAGAAAGGGGGCTTTTAAATGATTTCAGGGTTTTTTTGATATTTTCCAAAAATCTTGGGTTTGGAAATCGAAAAATTTTAAAGGAGGGGTATACAAAATATAATTAAAATTGATGAAGGGTGGGGGTCAGAGACACATCGGCCACAGGTGGGAGTGTCTCCGATAGTCTCTTAGTGCTGACGTGGCAAGACATCGAACATGATTGGTTTCACGTTAGGCCAACCTTAACTACTGACCCCACCTTCAACAACCGCGCGTGAGCTGTCAACAACGTGCGTTCAAGAATCAGAGAGCAAAACTAACCGAAATCTTAGGGCCTTGACAGACAATCACAGCCGTCGGATTCCAGCCCAATCATTTTCCACGTTTTTGTTGACCTCTGGATTTTGTGGGTGGTACGTTGTATCCAACGGCAAGGCTGGCCTTGGAATGTCACCTTCATCATGTCTTCATAAACGTCGTCACGCGCTTCCAAGATTTAATCAAAACTACAAATTTTTGAGTTGAATACGGACTTTCAAGTAGTATTTCAGATGGGACTTGCAGGGAAGATAAGAGAGAGAGAGAGAGTCTGTGAAGGAATTGCTTTATCCAATACGTTTATTGAAAGCTCTCAAAAACCCCAACTTTGATTTTTCTTTCTATCATCTGATTCTGATCCAATCTGTACTTTGGTTTGTCTCTTTCGTGTGTCCACTTAGTTTGTTAATTTGATGGGCAAAAAGAAAACACATTGATAGCAAGATAGCCCTCTCTCATGGTCGTCAGTCTCGCCTCCCTCTCACTCTCATTCGGGAATAGTCTCGTCACCCTCTCACTCTCATTAAGTCATTTTTTGTGCTAGTCGAGCTCCAAATGCGAGCTACAACTCGATTTTGCACTCTGCTGAATCGAGCTTGAAATATTATCACAAGTTCGAGTTCGATTCAGTTTTCCAAGCTCAATATGGCTCAAGCGTCACTCGAACTCGTGGCAAAAACTTGACTTGGCTCGGCCCGATTACACCTTTTTCAGGAAAAGTTGGATGGAAAAGGATTCCAAGAAACATAATTGAACTTTAATCAACACAGTACAGATTGTGTTGATCGAAAAAGTTTAGAAAATGAGGTTTGTAGACACAAAACAGGAGAGTTTTTTTTAAGTCCTCAGAAGTTTCCACAGCCATATCAGCCCTTTATATCAAATAATGGATCAAATCCAATGCTACAGAAGTTTCCACAGCCAATCAGCCCTTTTATCAAAAAATGGATCCAAATCCAATGCTACACCAGTTTTTGTTATGGTTGAACCTCTTACACAAGCAGAAACTTAAACCACAATTATGACAATAAAGACTTTTTCTGGGATTTTACCCAGAACCATTTCTATGCAGTTCTACTTTATGCTTAAAAGATGAGAATGGAGGAGTGCACATCCTGAATATTGATACTTGATTGCATAAAACTATCCATGAAAGCTGAAAATAAGCTTCAAACTCATAAACAAAACTTTCTTAAATGTCCAGCGAAAAGGTATCTCAGAATCTCAGCCATTCACATCACAAAAAAGTTACTTCTGAGTTGAAAGATTAACAAAAATAGGAGGAAATCATTTAACTAATTTTGAAGACAACCTCCAACAAATATTAACTTTGCATAAAAGAACAACCTTGTTTTAACGTAAAATGTGACTAAATAAAAACTATCCAATCATATCAGGTTCGGACCTTGGTTCAGATGTGAGTTCAGGTTCAGGTGCAGGTTTTGGTTGGGCATGGGTTCAGGAACGGTTCGGAGTTAGGTGTGGGTCGAGTTTAGTGTGTTCGGATTCGGGTTCAAGGGAATGAAGATTTGCGCATTGGGGTTCGTTGGGCATAGTCTCGTTCAACAAATCTTCATTTCCTGAGAGTCAGCATTCATAAGAGTCACACAATGATCTTTGGTTGCGTTTGGCTCAGGGTCATAAAATTAATCTAGTAATCTTTGTTTAATTTTAAGATTCCTTTATTTGGTTGTCAAACAATAAAATATTACGTAATCTTTTATTGCAAATAGTGTTTATTGTTAGTAATATTGGGGTAATCAGATTACCTTCTCAAAGGTGTTAATATAAGATACGAGTAATCTTAATTTTGACCCTATTTTGCCTTTAATTCTTATCATTTCGGAACATTTGCCCTCATATGTCTAACAAAAAAAATTACCAGACCCCCTATATTTGAGAATTTAGCTAAAACCACCTAACTACAAAAAAGTTTAAAAGTTTACAAATACCCCTAGTCACCCAAGACATTGCCGTCGTGTGCCTAAGAACGTTTCTAACCATGGATCACACAGAACAACCAGATCTGACCATTTCACGACCAAAGATGTGGCCATGAAAACGCCATAGATCTGGTCGTGAATGTGAAATGGCCACCGTTTCATGGCCAGATCTAAGCCGTTTTGGCCATAGATCGATAGCCTTACCAGCGCACGACCGCTAGATCTGGCCGGTCGTGCGCATTATAGTGACTGTCGACAGTGGCTTGGGGTGGGTGGGAGTGATTTTGCTATAAATTAAGTTTAGCAAAATTTCAAATATAGGAGGTAGAAAGAAAAATTTAAATAAATAATATATATATTATTATATTATATTTAAAAAGAAGACAATTTAGTAATCTACAAAACATAGCCACTTATTTATCCTCCCAACCAAACATATTATTATAACATACCCATTAATATTCCAACCAACTAAACACATTTATCTAAAGATTCTATGATAAACTATCTTTCAGTAATACAACATTCTCAGTAATATAAACATTCCCTGAATCAAACGCACCTTTAAGAACAGAAAGGATACAGTCACCGAAGAAGTGCATCGAATTTATGCACCGAATGACTTGGCAAAATCCTGATCGTCATAATATTAAGTTAAAATAATCAACAGTCAAGATTTTGTCACGTCATCGATGTAACTTAGCATTACTCCTTTAAAAATGTTTGAGGCTTTGTCTTGACTTCGTGGAACCCGTGTTTGGTGAGCTAGCTAACAACACTCTCTAACTGCAAAAAATAAAAACATCAAAACATCTATGAAATATATAATGGAAACGTAGTAAATCAGATCATTACCTCAAAAAAATCTATGTGATTGAACAGAATCAAATGTCTTTCCATTAAATGGCTTAAACAATCCAGTAAGGAATCTTTTTCGGAGTTCATCTAGGCCCTTGTTTGGAACATTATGTCTTTCTCTCCGTTTATCTGCTCGTTCAAGCTTTTGAGGTATCATCCAAGTTGGAGGCAACTAGCAACATCAAATTTTCCATGAGAAGAGAAATATCAAATATGTAAGCAGGGAGAAACGGAAGGAGGGAGTGCACACTAGACTTTTATAAATTGCCTGTCTAATGTGGTCCCACTCTCAGGGCTTAGGGATTTTCAATCATATAATCCATAGAGAGCACTGCACTCCCGTGCATTAGATGTATCCTGACCCAATCAAGCTCTAACTTTATTGGGATCTCCAAACCAACGCTATTTTGGTGTAAAAACACCAAAATAGC